AAAATAAACTAACAACGTACTACGGTAAGGTACTAACCAACGACGACTTGTTTAGTAGTACTACACACACACACACACACACACACACACACACACACACACACACACACATATATATATATATACACACACACACACACACACATATATACATATACATATAAATAAGAGGTACAGCTCCAAAACTATTATATCAATTACGTTAGTTGTCAATAGGCGTTCAAGATCAGCGCTATAAAACAACAATGAACTTAATATAAATTCAAAACTATTTAAAATAATACAACAACAAAACCTTCGCATTTTCCGCTCGTTATCCAAAAGTCATAACGGAGATTACCTTTGGTAATAGCACCCAAAAGCGTTGGAGATATCCCATCTGCTTTGGATAAGGACCGGAAAGTGCGAGGGGTTTTTGTTTTACATATAATCAGCAAAGTCATGTATACCAACAGGCTATTTGGTGTATACGTATATAGTTTAAAAACATGTGTTCCAAAAACATATTGATTCCATTATGGTTACCATCGGTAACTCTAGAATTAAAGCACCTGATAGGGAAGCAGTGGCGCGGATTCGAGTTTTATTTCTTCAAATTGATTTCTTTTCTCCCAGGGCTCTTTGCCATTCTTAGCGATTTATATGGTAAAACGACTAACTTTAATGGAAAACGTTACAATAAACTCAAGGACTTATAACTTAGGTTAATACATACACACATACTAATCTTATATAATGAATAACAACGTAGCTTCCGATAAAACAAATGATATACTTACCAAAATTAATAAGTTGGTTGCAAACATAGCGTATCGAACAGCTTTCCTGCAACCCTCAAACATCCTGAAGCTGTAAAAATAAAAATACGCTCGAAAACTTCTCTAAGCTATAAGGATGCGAGTCATTGATTAAATGTCTAATGTTTTCACTATATATGCTTTTGCCAGTCCGCAAAAATGGACAGTACATAAACTATTGCGCATGAATATATTTGCGGGAAATTTATTTTGTGTACATTTGTTTGTGTGACGGATTTGTTACTATATATTTATTTTAATATCAACGTTTGTTTAGAATAAATTTATATTTAGAAACATACATAGCTTATAGTGTTAAATATGTATTGCGAAACTCCCGCATATTCACCAAAGTTGTAGAAGATTCTCGAGAGTAAGAATCAACAATATATGTATGCACGTAAACGCTTAAATGTTGCTTTATATTGTTACGTAATCTGAATTTTCTAGAAGGCCTCGACACGCCTGTTAATATAACCAACGCGACGCGCAAAAAAAGAAAGAAAAAGTATCTATTATTAGTTCGCTATAGTCAGTGTGCTATAAACTTCGAAAGCTACAACTGTGATTGTTATAACGCTTATCAATCGGAAAACTTCAGATATTTGACCAGGAGCATTTACAAAGTTCGAACATTATAACTCATTTAACTTCAGTGGATTCTCATCAGACATTAGTATTGTTACGACAGCGGAAGTCGCGCGACGCTTGGAGCATGCGCTGGAGTTCTAGGAAGATCGTGACTGTTCCTCGCAACTCTAGGCTTTTCTAGGCATGCTATGTTCTCGTATGTAAGCCGGCAAATAAAGTGACGACGGAGAGATAATTGCAGACAGGCAGAGATAGAGACCTACAATCGAGTCAAGCCATAAGTAAAGTGTGTAAATCGTTGTGAATTCTAGCGTGTGTTTAAGTTAAAGTGACTGTGGAAATTAGGTG